TGTTACGAGACTGCCAGATCTCTGGAAAATGTCAAGGCAGCTGCAGGCTCGTCATACTGTCGCTTTACAGTAATGCCCGAGATGCTGCAGCGTTGCCATTTTGAGATCCGCCCCCAAACAACAATACCCAATTGCAACACAAACTCACAATATTTTACAACTAGTGAAACCATGCTTCCCAATTTACCCGCATATAGCTGTTACAGGCCAGCTATGCACCTTCGTCTCATTCGTTCTGGCGCAATGCTTCGCCGTGACCGAGGTACCATCGGCGTCACTGTCCACTCTCTATTCCCCGTGGAAGAGATTCTGTGGATAGCCTCATAGCTGACGTTTGCGGCTCGTGGTTGCACGATGCCCAACGTCAGTACAGAAACACGGGGAAGCGCGTGTTACGCTGCTAGCGGAGGAAAGAAAACTCGGGATCTTGCTTGATCCTAAATGATAAAAATGTTTAGGTAATTTAGCCTAAGTTTAGGGAGCTCTTTACTAAGTCTATTGCAGCGCCCTCTTTTCAAGTCTTGAGCTTTCTTGTTCCCTGAGGTCCACCTATAGAGGGTGGAATTGCAGCCTTTGGCAATGGCATTGATTGCCCGATCATGCAGTCCTGCGGAAGTTAAGGCTGAGGGTCGGGGTTACGACCTAAACGAGAAACCCTCTGCAGGTTGTTTCTTGGGTCGAATTAAAGTGATACGGTCAGAATAGGTACCGGTTTTGGTGCCGCTGACACACCGCGTGAAATTCTATGGGTGGTCAGACTGGGAATTCTTCCCGATATTATGTGAAGAACCTCAGTTCATGGCCGAATATCCGTATACGAGACTACCATTACTGCCAAATGATGAAGAAGCGCGGGGAAATGTCTTAGCCAAAGTCAAGTCCTGGGGGCACCTCCACACAAGAGAAATCCCCCCAAAGGCGACGGATATTGCGAGGAAATAGACCGGACTTCAACTCCATGACTCGGCCGAGAATATCTGAGCACGCCATGTCTAGGAAAGCGGGTGATCAGGCCGTTTCAAGCAAGACCCCTGCCCAATGGAAATTGGCAGACCCATACGAGAAAGGGACCCTTTGCGAAAGACAACGTGCTCTAGTGTCATGTAGGTCGACGGAGTTTATGGCTGAACCCGAACGCGAGCGAGGAGCCGAAGAAGAGAAGAGGGAGGGGGGAAGATGTGCTCCGGCCGAGGTTTGTTGCATCGGAAGAGGAGATCTCCAACAGATTTAGACAGAAACCCGAATTGGCGGAGGCCCTGTTACATTGCTTCAGCCTATGTTCAAGGATGTAGGCACAGCTCTGTTTTTTCTCTTTTCTCTTCCCTTTTTTTCTCCTCCTGTGCCTCGTTTCACACCATATGACTCTCTTATGATCGCACACTGAACCCGTTTGTGTTGCCCCGAAGCGAGAACAGTTTCTCCCAGTTCGCGAACCAAACAAACTTGACTTTGTTCTCAAACGAGTATACACCTCGTTACTGGCGTCTCTGAGGTCTTCCACCCTGTTTGTCCCGTCCACCCGTCTTGCCAGGCTACCTATCTACCGCGCAACTCGCCCCATCAACAACCTCGTCTTTCACCGACAGCTTTTACGAAAATTGAACCTGGCCGACTTCAAGTGGAGAGGAACCACAGAATAGGATTTGCGAAAATCCGGGGAGACGAAACGCAAAATCTCCACCAGCATAACCTGGGAATTACCCAATACGGACTATCTCCGACTTCAACATACAGCTGAGAGACGTTCCAAGATGAGTAGAGACGATGACTTGACTCGCGAAGAGTCAAGACCACATGCCTTGACCCGCGAACCAACACGCGAAGAAAAGACCCGAGAGGCTATTGCTGAGGGTCACGATGCAGATATTCCTAGCAACATTGGCTTTATCCCCACTCCAGCGGACGAGCAAAGACGAGCTAGTCTCACGAGCCATCAACGTGCAAGCCATGCGAGAGAACGAGCTTCTTTGGACCCAGAGAAACATGGTAACGAAAATGAGGTGAGAGATGAGGAAGAGGGTTCGCAAACGCAGAGTGAGAGTGATATTGTTTGGTGGGATGGTGATAAGGATCGCCAGAATCCGTACAACTTTGCTACTTGGAAGAAGGTTCTCAATTGTGTGCTCGTGAGCGCATTAACGTTCGTTACTCCCTTGGCTTCTTGTAAGTGGCCTCTCTGTTCTATCTCGACATCGTGGTCTTTGATGGGCACTGAACGTTGAGGACATGCTAACATGACATAGCCATGTTTGCACCCGGTGTGCCTCAGCTCATGGTCGAGTTCGGCAGTCAAAGTCGTGAACTAGCATCCTTCTGCGTGTCAGTCTACGTTCTCGGTTTCGCTGCAGGTCCTATGATCTTTGCTCCTCTATCGGAACTTTATGGACGTCAAATAGTCTACCACTGCTGCAACGTTGGTTTCATCGGTATGGACTACATCCCTACCGCCTCCAGGCTTCTCTAACTTTCTCAGTGTTCGTTATTGCCTGCGCCAAAGCTCCCTCGTTGAGCAGCTTCATCGCATTCCGTTTCCTCAGTGGCACATTTGGCTCGACGCCCATCACCAACGGCGGCGGTACAATCGCTGATATGATCGTTCAGGAGAAGCGAGGTGCGGCAATGGCGAGCTTCAGTATTGGTCCGCTTCTCGGACCCATCATTGGGCCAGTTGTTGGTGGTGTTATAACTGATGCCCTAGGCTGGCGATGGGTATTTTGGATCATTGCCATCATATCTGGTGTCCTGTCCTCTATCTTCTTCTTTGCCTCTGAAGAGACCTACGCACCCGTAATTCTCGCACGAAAGACAAAGAGACTCCAGAAGGAGACAGGCAACGACCGCCTTCGATCTAAACTCGACGCCGGCCTCAGTCCAGCGGATTACTTCAAGCGCGGTATCCTACGCCCATTCAAGATGCTCCTCTTCTCCCCGATCTGCATCATCTGCGGTGTATACGTCGGTCTGGCCTACGCATATCTCTACCTCCTCTTCACGAGCCTCACACCTCTGTTTATGCAAATCTACCACTTCAACACAGTCCACGCAGGCCTGACGTTCCTTGGTCTTGGTGTGGGCAGCATGATTGGTGTAGCGTACTTCTCTGTCTCGAGTGACAAGTACATGAAGAAGAAGGCTGCAGCTGCTAAGGAGCAAGGTATTGACGATCCTGCTGAATCAATGAGGCCCGAGAATCGACTTCCGCCGTTGAGGATTGGTGCTATTTTGCTCCCCGCTGGTTTCTTCATCTACGGATGGACTGCTGAGTACCATACTCATTGGATTGCACCTATCCTTGGAACATGTGTTATTGGTGTTGGAAACCTCGTCATCTTCATGGTAGGCCAATCGCTCTCTATCATGAACCAGACTAACATATTACAGTCACTACAGATGTACCTCATCGACAGCTTCACCATCTACGCAGCCTCCGCCCTCGCCGCCAACGCCGTCATGCGATCAATCGCCGGTGCATTCCTACCTCTCGCAGGACTACCAATGTACGACAAACTCGGCATGGGATGGGGAAACAGCCTTCTGGGATTCATCGCTGCTGCGCTAATCCCTGCACCGTGGCTGTTCATCAAGTACGGAGAGCATTTGAGAAAGAAGTTTGAGATCAAGGATTTATAGACGAAAAGCGGACAGACCGGCGATTCTCAGGCATACATAGAGGGAACCCAGCATTTACTAGCATATGGAGTTACTTACTTATTACTTGTCTACTCTATCACCGCCTAAATGAGACTGCTCCCATAGCTTTATAACGGAGCTGCAGATGAGGCGTTGATCACGCGCGCGAATGCATGGCCGTTGAATGCGTGCAACTGATGCGGCTCGAGCCGAACCGCCGGGGTCATGAGACAAAAGACGATGACGGAGACTTACTATCCATAAAGAATCGTCCTGCCAAGAAAATCTTTAAATGCATATCTCACGATACTGCACGGTATTCACAAATGTCCACTTCAGCGACTTAACATGGACAACTTGAGTTTCCTCCATGGTCTGACTTTTTCATAAGAACTTCATCGAAAGCACCGACAATGCCATCTCATCATGACAGCCCTTGCGTATAAACACTAGCGCCTTGATTCACTAGACATATAGCAATATCCGTTATTAGGATGCAATGAATAACGAGTTATAGGCCTTCTCAGCTCATGCTAGACCTATCTGATGAATCAAGTCCCTTGAGAAAGGTCTTAAAGCTCCCTATCATCTCTGAGTACCCATCTCACCCCAGCACGGTATCCAAAGCTCATCTTGAAGGACTGACAATTTCCCCCAAGTATCACAATCATGCCAGAATCGGTTGTCACCGACGTTTTATGAAGTCAGGCCACACCTTTGTACACGGACCACAGAAAAGATAGACCCATCTAGGGGATGAAGGAAAACCTCGATCCCAAAGAACAAAAAGACTTATCTTAGCTTACCATAAATTTAGGATACCTTGCTAGATTTTGGATACTGTTGCTGAGTTTACTTTAGTACCCTATCTATTTCAAGGACTGATGTTCACCTGCTCCTCGAGGCCCATCTCATCATATATCGTATTGCCAGGGGTAAGCAATGTACCCTTGAATCGAGAGATCCGGACCCTAGCTCGGGGTCTTTCCATAGCTCAGCCCTTTAATCCTTGGCTGCATGTGTGGGCTCTGAGGCTTCGGATAGGCGGGTCGCTAGGGACACATGTGTTGATAAAAGAGATGCACTGGACATTACATGGCGGGACGTCGGCCTGGTTTCCGTAGTGTTCTGCAACATCGCTTACAAAACGTCTGCTTTACTGATGAATGACCTATTCGCTTAAAGATACAATTCACAGAAACAGATGATATGATGTATAGGGACTTGCCCTGTTTATTCCTTTACGTGACTCAGAACTCGTAAACCAGTACCCTAACCTTGGAAACAACCATTGCCCTGTCTATCATTACTAATTTCGCATTAAACAAATCCCCATCACTCCAGGTTCATCTTTAAGAGACTTTTATGCTTTACTGAAGCTGGCCAATGCCGAGGTGCTCGGGGTCAGCCTTGACGATTCGGAGGGTGTTGGTGTTACCCATGCCGCCCTTCCAGCCCTGGACAACGACAACGGTGTCACCGGGGGTGAGGACGTTGAGTTGAAGAGCGTTGTTGACGGCCCACTTGATTCGGCGATCGACATCCTCCTGCCAGTTAACCTGGGTGAAGTCGGGCTTGGTCTCGGGGAACAGGAAGGGGTACACGCCGCGGTACAGATGGGCGAATCGAGATGTTGTGGGGCTTCGAGTGACCATGAAGATGGGGCACACGGGTCGATACTTGGAAAGCATGCGGGCCGACTCTCCGGAGGTGGAGAGGACAATGATACCGCCAGCACCGAGATCGAGGGAAGCGCGGACTGCAGCCATAGCGCAAGACTCGACAGTGGAGACGGGTCGCTTGACGAGAGTGCACATCTCCTCGAAGTGAGAGACGTAGGGGATGGTGTTCTCAGCCTTGAGGCAAGTCTCGTGCATCTCCTTGACAGCCTCGGAGGGGTAGCTACCCTTGGCTGTCTCACCAGAAAGCATGACACAGTCGGCACCATCAGTGATGGCGTTACCGACGTCGCTGATCTCAGCACGGGTGGGGCGGGGGTTCTTGATCATGGACTCGAGCATCTGAGTAGCGCAGATGACGGGCTTGCCAGCGAGGTTGCACATGGCAATGAGCTTCTTCTGGGCAGCAAACACCTCAGCAGCGGGAATTTCGATACCGAGATCACCACGGGCAACCATGACACCATCGGTAGCCTCGAGAATCTCCTTGAAGTTGTTGAGACCCTGTCGGTTCTCAATCTTGGAGATGATCTGAATGTGCTTGCCCTTCTCGCCGAGGACCTCACGGATGTCGTAGATATCTTGAGCACGGCGGATGAAAGAGGCGAAAACCATGTCGACATTGTTCTCAACACCGAACCTGAGATCGGCCTTGTCCTTCTCGGAAAGAGCGGGAAGATCGACATCAGTGTTGGGCAGGTTAACACCCTTCTTGGAGCAGATAGCACCGTTGTTGCGGGCCTTGACTCGGATGGTCTTCTCGTCCTTGATCTCGAGGACGTCGAAAGCGAGAACACCGTCGTCGACGTAGATGACACGGCCGGGCTCGATGACACTGGTAATGTTCTTGTAGTCGACGTACCTGCACAAGTTAGCTTTAGGAGTTACACAGGTTTTTATTGTACTCACATGTTCTTGTCGTCACAGGCGGTGGCATAAGAATCGTCGGTGGTGATGTTCATCTCGTGGCCAGCACTGATGGGAATATCCTCATCGTTGGGAGTGTTACCCGTTCGGATCTCGGGGCCCTTGGTATCAAGAGCAATGGCAACATTGCGACCAGCGTGGGTAGCCTCGGACTCACGAGCGTTGTCAATGACAGACTTGTGGTACTCGTATGATCCGTGGGAGAAGTTCATGCGGACAACGTTAAGACCGGAATCTCGGAGCTTGTTGATGGCCTCAACAGAGTTGGTCTTGGGGCCAATGGTGCAGATGATGGAGGAGCGGCGGTAGTTGCGCTGAGGTCGGAAAGCGGTGTCGAGGGAGGCAAGCCATGAGATCTTGCCTCCGAACTCGAGGTGGTCCTGAGCGGTAGCAGCCATGACGCTTTTGGAATGCTTGTGTGAGGGTTTCTGAGCCATTGTGAAAGAAGCGATTAGCAAATGTTGAGAAGTGGGTGGGATGAGCTTGGCGGGGTAGCTCTGGTGCAAAAAGAATGAAGACGTGAGGAATTCAGCCCGGAACAGTTGGAGAAGACGGGAAATATATGTCTCTCTCAATCAACTGATATCAGCAGCCAACAAGTAGCAGAGAAGAAAGATCAGGTCGTTCTGCGGGCACTTGCTATGCAGGCCAACAGGGATGCATCCGTGAGCTGTAGGCAAGTACATGGGGCTAACGTGGATCTGATCTGACGTTAAGTGACGTGGTGGGAAAGGCGATAGCAATGGGGCGTGGCATTTCTCGGTGGGCAGAGCAGTCGGTGCGACACAGTCTGGCTGGCTTGGTTGGCGAAAAGGACAAAAGACGACCCATGAGCTCAATAGATGGGCCGAGTACAGAATCGTCAGATAATCGCTAATCGGGCCAGAAGAACCGAGTCCAAACCCGACACCTTGTCTCGTACTGTTGATGGGTCGCAGGGGAAATCCAGTGTTTCTGAACTGCTACTGCAACCCAAAAGCCAGAAGCGCATCTGCAAAGACGGGTATATGCCACACCTCCATATCGCTATCGCCATCACTTTTTTGGAGTGGCCGGTAGACCAAACCCCAAAGGCCCAAGCCGCAGCCAGCAGTCGTCTCCATTCATGTGCAGCAACAGCAACAGCAGCAGCAGCATGTTGACTTACAGGAGTATATGAATTTTGTTGTACGAATGTTGCACCGTACGATAATAACCCAGAAGGATGATGTGGTCAGAGAGGCAGAGGAACGTGCGCACTCTTCCTGGTATTATCTATTGACGACGTTCGATGGAGGGAGCTCGCAAAGGTCGAAGCGTAAGGGGGCGGGATGGATACTAAAATCTGTTTTTGGTCGTTGGTAAGAAGAGGGTTGGGAGATGAGAAGGAAGAGAAGAGAAGAGAAGAAGAGGGAGAGAGGAAGAAATTTTGGTGTGGTGATGATGATAATAATAAAGGACGGGAGAGCCCAGCCCAGTTCAGTTGGCACAGCGCAGTGCAGTACAGCTCAGTAAGGTACAGCGAACGTTCAGGGGGTACTTTACTCTCGCCTCCCCAATCAACAAAGATCTGTACCCTCACCGAGAAATCACAGCCATCATGACTGGAGGGGTAAGAGCCAAGCACGGAGTAGCGCTACGGAGTACTTGCCTCAGATGTACTTAGTACGGTGAATTCATAGCCCGCTTTGGCCGAAGTGTCTGAGCTCTGAGGTGTGTCGCTGTGGTTGAGATATGGGGAGCTTTTTTTTCGCCTTTTTTCTTTTTTTCTTTTCTTTTTGGGCGATCTGGTTAAGAAATTATGGGGAGCTGTTCCTTGCACCCCGCTTCCTGTGAGATGCAAGCTTACAGGCCTTGAATTGGCTTTGGAGGTGATTTATATGCTCGCAATGGTCTACAGCAATAATTTAACAGGTGTAAATTAATATATACCTGTATATCCCAATGATAATATTTTCGAAATCTCCGAATACAAGTCACTGTCTTGCCCGCCCTCGTCAAAGTCGTGTAGCTATTTTCAAAGTTCCCCCACCAAACTCGACCCCGCTATCGCGCTTGGGTGTTTGGTGGCTTCCATTGCTTTTGCCATCCATCAGCATCATTAAGTTACAGCGGCATATTCGGGGCAAAGCACTCCGCCCGCTACTGCAGCATCCGACAGTAGCTCTCCCCTCCCTCTACGAACTGTTCTCCCCAACCCCAAATCGGTAATTTTATCTGTCCCTCACCTTGCCTTGCCTTGCTGATTTATGTTCATATTAGCCAAATCTCAGAGTGGGTTGGTTATCATATCGAATGCATTGGTCGTGTCATGAAACGCGCAAACAAATGCCAATCACCCCGCCACTCAAACGCTGACCGTAGTTAGTAGGTTACCTCATCCCTTGACTCAATACCAATTCGTTGAGCAGTGGCAGGGTATTTTGATGGTGCCAACAGAGTTGGAGTCGAGAAAGCGCCTAATTTTCTAACGAATAAAGTATCGCCCTCTCACCTTGGAAGCATTGGCCTCACCTGAGCTCATAACGTCTCAACAACAGTCATCAAACTTTGATTGGGCTGAAATGAAAGACCAATCAGTCAATTCCTTACCAGGCATGCTGCTACGATTGGGTTGAGGTTTGTCTTAGTATTGCATACTGCTAAGAACCCTCTTGGCATGATACACATCAACTTCGCTTCTCATTATCCTCTTCCTGTTCAGGCAGGACATTACCATATTGTTTATGAATGTCATGACAAGTGGTTTAGCCTGCATCTTCAGCAGAGTCATGTCTATGACGCGAGGGAATAAACGAGTCTTATCTATCGTTTCAACCTATCAACCCTTGAGCTCAACGTCTTTTTTCTTGGCTCTTGGTTCAGCCTAAGTCCAAGCCATCGACGTCGGTTCCAACCGTCCATCTCCTGGCGGAATATACCACTCAAACACCTCTATCATGGCCGCGGAGATCATCATTGGGTCGCTATCATTCAGCTCTTTGAGATAGACCCCCATCTCCTGACTAACGTTAATTGATCGCATAGCTTAGAGCCTTAGACTATAGTTGACCGACATGTTGTTTCAACAGAAAAATGAATTAAAAAACCAGCCGCCCCTCCCTCACCAATAAGCGCGAATAATATGTCAAACACAGCACATTGCATTGAGTAAAACGGCACTTTAAACGATGTTCGTTTTCAGATATCGGTTGATACCAAGCCCATTGGGCAAAAACCATGTTTGTCAGAAAAGATTGGCGGCGCGGGGGTCAATTGCTGCAAAAGAGGATCCCTCATGAGTGAGGGATTTTGCTTCATGACTCCCCCCTCCTCGTCTTTGCTCTTCTTGGGATAGAACACGGCGATGCACTCGGCGATGTCTCTCTGGACCCTTGAACCCCTCTTGCGTCTGGACCGACAGATGTTGAGGTGAAGGGAAAAAATAATCGTGAGTGGGTTCTCCTGTAAATAACGCCGATATGCCAGCGAACAAGCGGTTTTGTTTTTGACCGGCGACTACGAGACTAGCGGCGGCAACGTGCTGTGATGCAACATGATTATTGAGCCCCGTCGATTTTATCGAGGCGCATTTCCATATCAGGAGCTTCCGCTGGGAATGTGAATCTCGAGATGAAGCATGTTGAGCTATTTACACCTTGAGGGGTTCCTCAGGAAACTCCGCTTTAGGATATTTCGAAGACAGATCTACGATTCTATTTTGGGTCTAGTTATTTTAAGAAAGAAACATCCATGATACAGATGCCAATAATATCATCTCATGAGACGTCTAACATCTCACAATGTTTTGCATCGTAACATCCACTTGCAACAGATCCAAATGCCTGGGTCCCCATCCGTAAGACTGTAACAGACATGGAAAACACGTGATGTGGCTCTACCCCGGAGCTTTCGGCGCCGGCTCGCCGGAGTCTCCACTATCGCCTGGTTCCCGCCGCGGTTGTGTCTGTGTCGCATGACGACCAGGCTAGACCAAGGTTAGATCCAGAAAACGACTCCATTCACGACGCTTCACACCGCGACTATCATCCAACTCCAAACGACACTTCTACAATTCTTCCGCTGCAAACACTTACATCATGGTGGTATGTACCCCCTCTCTCCTCTCCCCCCTGTTTCCCCCTGGAGCTCTGCCCGTGAGGCCTGGCAAGTCTAAAGACTCCTCTCACAGCTCCTCAACCTGCTGACGCTGGGACTCTGGTCAAAGGTCGGACGGTTGACACACTATGCCTTTGACGCTGTTCTCTGTGAGTCCAAGATATACTTCTCTTCTTTGTCGCCGCGACAGCGCAAAGCTAACACCGCAACAGTCTCGGCCTTCCTCGCCGGCATGAAGCGATCTACCGGCCTGACGTGAGCCTTAAACCCTCCGAATTACTCTCCGACACATCTAACAGCAAACGATAGTTTCAAGACTGACAAGGTCGCCGGCGAGAACAAGGAATTCACCGGCTGGATCGATAGATACCTCGGTGTCGGAGAATGGGTCATGGATCAATCCGTCGCGATCGCAGGCTCCAGCGGCTACTTTGAGCGAACCCGATGAGCGACTGGGACGACACCCCTTTAAGCTATCGATACCATGGACTTCCCACTCAGTTTTACAGCTGCAAATGACTTGAAAAAAACGACTTAACGATCGCGCGGAGGAAATGGCCAAAGCTACCTGATACGCGTTCGACGCGCTGGGTTTTCAGATAGGCGTTCGGATATATGACTAACTACCTTATGCATGTGAATTGGATCAATGATACTGATATTCAATTAAAGCCATGAGCTTCTATCCTGCTGTCGTGAATTGCTCTAGGAATAACCAACAACCTGAACCCGGTTATCTAAACCTGCCCATTCCTTCTTATCATTATTCATAAGCCTAATCAATGTCCCAAACTCTTCCTCCTAGTCGATCTTGGTTTGTTCTTTGTGTTCTGCCAGAAACTCAGCTGGAACCTCGTTCTCAGAGCTGACCCGTCTCAACACTACGCTCTGTTGTTGAGGGCTGTCCGGAGGATCCCGATCGTGGTCCTCAAAATGAGATACCAACAAGTCAGCGGGAACTTCGTTATCGCTCTCATCGTGACTTTCTTCAAGCGGCTCCTCGGCTTCTCCCTCTGTGCTGTCTTGTGTTCCATTATGTTCTAGATGATCCTCTATAGTGACTGGCTCATCTGTGATTATTCCGAGCGTTCTCAGAAGTGTTTTGGCCTCGAGGAAAGCCTCCAGTTCTGCGCCGATCGCGCATATGAGGAGATTCCAATGTTTTGATTCAGCCAGCTGCAATCGCTTTTCCAATTCTTCAACAACAGTGTCCATCTGAGACAACTGGTCTCGTATCGCGGCTTGTTGCGGCTCTTCGTCAGCATCTCCCGCTTGACTGGCTTTGATCAGTTCCCGCAATCTCGCCTCGAATTGTGCGACAAGCCCTGTAACTTCAGACCAAACCTCGAAACCTTCAATC